CTACGAAATATCTATCGAATGAAATTTTTAACACAATCAAATGATACGATTTCGATTGATTGTAATTTAAATAATGGTTTAAAAAATGTTCATATTAATAAAGAAATTGATTCACAATGGATTATTAAACATTTTGAATTAGATATTCCCGATGATATACTAGAGAAGTTATCTAAAGATACTATAGCACCAGAAAAATTACGTTTTATTAAAAAAGCTGAAATGTTTTTTGCTGCAAAATATAAAACTCCAATACGTAATGAAAATGGAGAAATAATTAGTGGTGGTATAGAAGGGTGTGGGTTCAATCATGATAAAGATGCCCACACCTATGCTCACACCCACACCCCGCACCCACAAGTTTCGAAGAGTTGAATATCCTTGACCTTGAAATCAAGTTTTGAAAGAAGAGGCTTTAAGAGTTTGAGAGCAGTGTAACATTTTATTGAGAGCGATGAGCGCCATAACATCAACTTTTTAGGGAAGGAATAAGTTATTGCTTCTCCAAATTTTCCTAGAAGAAGCAATTGTACATTTTATTTTGCTGGTATGTTGCACAAATTCACATAACTAGTAAAGTTACGCTTAAGTTATCTATAAAATGGAGGTAGTTAGGGGAAGCAATTGCTTCTTCTCGCTACTATGGCGCGCCACTTATGTTCAGAATACATAGACAAGATTTTAGTAATTAAAATGTGCTGCAATAATAAACTTGTGTCATAGCTCTAATTTGATGATATTTAATGATGCGCTTCTACACCTTTTAGAATAGACTTTTCGTTTTATGAGACGTTTATAATAAAATTTTCAAAAGACTTTGATGAAAGTCATGATGAAAAAGATCGATCCAACTAAGAAAACAACAGTTTTTTCTCTTCAACAAAGATTCTTAATGGAAGGACTATGTCTCGTTTGTTTCGAAGTGATTTCTATCAAAATTTGAACTAGATGAAGTGGTGACAATAGCCTTTCAAATGAGCAGTTTACCGAGAAAATTCATGTCAATATGGTGGAGAGAAAATGGTTAGCAAAGAAAAATAATATCAGAACAATAAACTTAGAGCATATGAACTGATGAAGGACATTTTGGTTCTTGAAATCAATATGTATTGTCAAATGTATCCATGCACCGTATCAGCTATTGTTGTTCAGAACTATGTATAGCACAGATAATTAATTTTATTTAGAAAATTTTGTAAAATATTTTGTTTAGTGCATATGTACTTCTACGAGACGAAGAGGATTGTTTGTTTTTAGATTGATAACATGTTTTAATTAATTCAATAACAATAGAGATAACTATATTAAATATAATTTAAGAATACAATTGAAACAAGATATTACATAGAAATCAAATACACTGACAAATATGTTTGTTCTTTAATTATCTGTATTTCAGTTTTACTATTCAGAAAAATATTGATGATCTTATAATTGATCGATATTATATAAATTCACTATGTTTTATAACTCCTCTGCTGAGTATATCATAGATTGCGATATGTTTGATAATCTGTTGATAGCACACTTCCGATTGTCTAGACAATATTCTTCACTTTTGTGATTTCAAACTTTCTCCATGCAAGGATGACCGATGTGTGACCATGCCCGTATGTCTCTGTTTATTGTACAAAAAAAAAAGACAATTCATAAATCTACTATTTATACGAATTATAGAAATGTTTCTTTGAATTTGTTCTTATTCTTGTGTGAAAAAAACACAAAAGAGAAATAGATTTAAAAATTTTAGTCTTATAGTAGATTGATAACAATATAACTAGTAGAAATAGCTAATAGGATTGAGTAAGTGTTAAAATTTTGAAGCATGTATGTTTGTACTCTTCGAGAGTAGTTTTGAAAAAATGATTTACTAAGAAGAGCCTTTCATTTAATCTTTCAATTTTTTTTTGCTGCAAGCACTAAACGTTTTTCTCTTCGATCGGAATAGACTTCGGATTAGCATTTTTTCTAACTTTAGATATTTATGGTAGATGTCAGTGCAATGATAAGATTGCTGGACTGTCGTGTACAAATAGTATCCCTGAAACAATGAATCTTCTATCATCAAAAAAGTCAAATATTTGCTACTGAAAAGAATTTTACTTAAAAATAAGAAGTTTGTTTATTCTATCAAGAAAAAGAATCGTTCGAGTTTGTACTGTGTTCGAAGAAAGATTCTCATGTTGTTGTTTTTTTGTACGAGCATCTACATGTTGGATGATGCATGTGACAATGTTCTCTTTTCTGCTCTTTCTCTCGTATCGAGCAACATTACGGTTTATTGGAAAAGAGAATACTGATTTAAAGATAGGACACAGGAGTTAAAATCACTATAGTTTTGATACATATATCAAAATAGTTTGAATACTGTTTTAGGTATTTGATCATTAGATGACGTTTCGTTTCTTTTTTAAGATTATTCATTTAATTATTTTGAGTATCTTTACTTAAGTAAGTCGATTGTCTGCAATAATTCTAAATTACTCTAGTTTGAATAAAGGAAGACTGAAAGTATCATATTGTTAGATTTAATTTGTTCTATCTTGTATATATATGTGTTATAGAAAGACTTAGAGCAAAATTATGCTTTATCATAGAACTGTTTACGTTCGATAAGAACAAGATTTGATTTTTAAGAAAAAATACTGAACAAGCAATATTTATTCCTTTTTTTTGACAAATTTATTTTCTAAAATCCTTGCTGAATAGTATAAAATAAAACTTTGTAAATTTAATCAAGTGTCCCATTTGTTTTATTGCTTCTGATGATACAATTCTTAATTAAATAGTATGAGATAGAAGAGAACTTGAATCTCTTGTTTTGTTTTATATTTCAAAAGACTACAGATGAACTATCCGGTATTGAAAGTTGCATCTATAGAAGAATTTATCACTCTTTCAAAGTTCACAGTTTTATCACCAATTCATAAAAAATCAAGTAATAAGCAGATATATTGTACAAGAATGAATATTGTGTTAGATATTCTGTGAAACATAACTCAAATGAAAAACAAAATTTTTCTATGAACAACTAGATTTAGTTCTAATAAAAACAAGAATTTCTGTATTATTACACAGTAGTTCTTCTTTTTTCTTTGTTCTTTATTTCTTCTTTATCTTTTTTCTGAACATGCACGTGACACAAATGAAACCGTCCAAGTATGATGTCGACAAACTTGAAAAAATATAAATTAATCTGATTGTCATAAACCTCAATATCATTGTTGTTCTTACAATACAAAATAAAATAAAAATGCTATCAAATGTTAGGAAATGGATGTGTGTGAGGTATGGGATGTGCGTGTGGGCGGGTATGGATGTGGATTTAGCTGTGATATTCTATTCACTTACACCCACACCCACGCCCCACCCTACTGATAATCCTGGGTAAGCACACAGTTTTTCCCCACCATTGCAGAAATGCTGGTTTAAGATTAGGTATTGATGTACTTTCAAACATAAACTTTGGATACCTTAGTTTATGATCTCAAGCTTTTGCCCTTAGGACAGTGAGAATTTGTTCATTATCTTGAATCATTGTTTTCATTTGTTTTTCATGTCGCGAAAGTTGATGAATTAGTTTTGATGTAATTAATGATAAACTTGTTCATCCAATTGTTTCGCAACGGACATAGCATTATTGAAATGAAAGCATCATTGAAAGTGTTTAGAAATAAAGTCAGGTGGATAATCATTTAATAATAGTGAACGATCAATACGTATAAGTTTCAGATCAAAATCATGTACATCACTAAAGGTGATGACACATCTCATGCGGAGAATGATTGCATCTTCAAAATTCAGAATATGTGGCACTACTCGTTTAGCAGATTATTTATGAAAGATGGATGTAATTAAATGATCATTCTCACTTGGGACAACGACATCAAGAAAATCGGCACGTTAATTAATCTTACAATCAATCTCTATATTGACATCTTTGTTTTGAGAGTTGTCAAGTTCAATTTTGATTTAATGAGAAGATAAATTTGTTGTTATAAAGAAGCCATCAATATATCTGAAAATCAAATGAATGATTATGTAAAACAGCTTTCTTTTCTCTTATAATCGGTCAAGATAAACATCGCATCAAATAAATATCAACAGGATTAGGGATTTTTTTGTTTGTTCATCATATCATTGATACTTAATAAAGCATCTACTCTGACACAATATTCACAATTGTATTCTACATATTCAGCAACGCTGATATGTTGATACATGAAATCATCGATCAACTACAAAAAGTTTCTTCATATCAAATACACATTACATGAGGTATGCAACAGTATTTCTGTAACACAAAATTGAATTTTTAATCTTGCTATGCCTACTGAAGCTACGTTTTTTGTGGAAGACTTCAAAGAGACTGGTGCTTATTCATTCCAAGCATTGCGTAAACTGTTAGGCGACTTAACTGTTGTGTCACCATTGTAAAGTAGTTTTTATGATACAGTTTTTGATGTTCTTTCTGACTATGTATTTAGATATTAAATTCGATATTATTGTATGTTTGTCTTCTTTTAATGAAGAAAGTAAATAAATGATAGACGTCACATGTAAATAAGGCGTAAAATAATATAACTATTATTAACGATATGAGACTAAAATAGCTAGTTGAATATATTTTGCATATGTTACGCTTCATTTAATACATATATCCTTTTAAAGAAAGTAAACGTCTAGGTAGGTGTAAGACACGTTTCATAATAAAAGATAACGATTTATAAAGAGACGATATATAGGTAATATTTATTATTCTTTTGCTATTCTCGCATTTTGCCATGCATTTCTTTTTTTTTTTGCTTTAGAAAATTTGCACTCAAATAACTAAATTGTATTATCATGGCAAAGAATATGACTTGTTCAAATTCAAATGATGATCATTTATGTAATATTCAATCATCATTTTCAACTAATACTATTAGCGATAATAGTGATTATGTAAATAGATTATTTCTTTGTGTCTTATTGATATTGAATTATATTTCTTGTATAGTTATTCAGTAAACTTGATGTTAAATCATATGGTACAATAACTTGTAAGTATTGATATATTGCTATAGAAAATATTCATATTGACTTAATTAATTTGTTTTTTTGTTTTAGTTCCTCAAAATAACTGTAATCAAGCTAATTTTATTCGAATATCGCCGGATGTCTGTCCTATACAAGTCAGAGAATTATTTATTGGACAGAATTATGATACAGTAAATCTTTTGATTTTGTTGTTTGTTTAAATTATGATTAGTATTTTATTAGCGTCCATCACTTGTTATATCGATAATGGGCAGTGCGAAAGAAAGTTCTCTGAGATCAAAATTATTTCGAATATTTCGTGAAGGTCTTCTTCAAGTAGCTCAAACTACCAGTTAGATTTTACATTACAATTTATTTAAAAAAATCAAAGTTATTTATCTTTCTTTAGATATTTGGGTAATTACTGCTGGACTGAATTCAAGAGTAACAAGATTTTTTGGTGAAATAATTCGAACAAATTCAGATCCATCTCGACCCATATATTTAATTGTAAGTTATTAATTAAGATTTAATAAAAATCATATGTAAAATACAAAAAAAAAAGGGTATTACTTCTTGGGGATGTATATCAAATGTCTCACAACTTGATGTTCACGATACAAATGTTATTTATTCAAAATTAAAAAGTGATGAAAAAGAGGCAACACCACTTGAAGCAAATCATACACATTTTATTTTTATTGATGATAAAACGAAATATAAACATGGATGTGCAATTAAATTTCGTGCTCGATTTGAAAGAGCAATTTCAGGTGAAGGTTTTTCATTACAAACTATGACAAATAATAATCAAATAAAAGATAAATCAATAAGATCATATTCACAATCAAAGCAACCAGGTTAATATATCCATGATAAGAAGAATTTATTCGTTTTTTTATTTTCATTTAGATAATATGCCTGTTGTTGTTGTTGTTATCGAAGGCTGTGCAGATGCGATTAAAAAAGGTTTAGTTATGTTTAATGGTACTATCTATTTAATTTTTTTTGTGTTTTAGTTTATCAAAGTGCTGTTAAAGATAGAATTCCTGTTGTTCTTGTTGAAGGTACAGGTGGATGTTGTGATTTATTTGCTAAATGTTATCATTTGTATAATGAATACAAGTCAAAAATGGAATCATGTGCTCAAACAAAGTTTGTTTCCTTATCTTAAACATTTATTAAGATTTATTCGTATTTGTAGTGAAAATTCATCATCATTAATAGAACAAAATGAACAAATAAAAAATAAAATTCGTGAAGCATTACAAATAGTTAATCATGAAATGGCTGAAACTTCATGTACAAATGCACCAGATGAAGGATTAGATTTTTTTGAATTAATATATGAATGTGTTGAAACACGAAATATATTTTTAAATTTTATTGATTTCAAAGTACATGATCTTAGTGGTGAGGATGTTAATTTCTCTATTTTACAAGCTCTTCTTAAAGGTAATTGAAATAAATAAATAAATCAATATTTAATACACAATATTATTAATAGTTACTAGTGGAAATGATTCCTGTAAAACAAAACCAGAAGAAAAGCGTGAACAATTAAATTTAGCATATGAATGGAAACAAATTGATATTATTAAAAATTCTATTATGAAAGATGAACGAGATTGGAAAGTAAAGAATTTAAAGAAAATTTTTGCAATAAATTCTTTAATTATAATATAGAAAATTGAATTAAATGATTTATTTTTCAAAGCACTGATAGAAAATCAAGCAAATTTTGTCGAATTATATCTTGATCATGATTTTCCATTACATGATTTATTTGAAAATAAAAATCAAATTTTAGATCTTTATAAAATCGAAGTATATCTTTATATCTATAATCAAAATAAATAAATTTTGTTTTATATTTTTAGAATATTCATTTTAAAAATGAATTAAATAGTCCTTTAAGATCAATTTATAGCGAAATAATTCAACCATTTATTGATAATCATTCTCTAATTGATGCTGATTGTAATCCAGATAATTTAGCAACAAATTCTAAAAGTTTGTTTATTAAAAAATAATCTTTTGTTTATTATTAATTGATTATATTAAGATGATTCATCATCAATAATAAGTGAAATTGATATTGATAAAGAACTTTTTCTTTGGTCAGTTGTAACTGGTAGACATGAATTAGCTTTCCTTTTTTGGACTCGTGGAAGAAATAAAATTTGTATGTATTTAAATAAATGAATTTTTTTTTTTTTTTTTGGATAAATTTTTCGAATGATTAGGTGCTGCTTTCATTGCAATATTAATTTATAAAAGTAAAGCAAAAAAAGAAAAAAATCTTAAATATTATGAATGGGCCGATCAATTGGAATATTTTGCTGTAGAAATACTTGAAAAATTTTATTCAACAAATCCTTTGAAATGTAAACAAGCTATTGTTAGAGCAGTACCCGAATTTGATAATGTTACTTGGTTACAATTAGCTGTTTTGGCTGAATCAAAATCATTTATTGCTAAAAAAGGAGCACAGGCTGTACTTAAAGATATATGGTATCTTTATTTTATATATAATATTTATTTACTTTATTTTATCTTCTAGGTATGGTCGAATTGACCATCACGTTGGACATTCGTTAATAATATTTTCAAGTTTTATGCTTTGGTATAGTGTTTTTCTTCCTTATTATGAAGAAAACAATACATATAATCAACCTGATGTATGCCAAGTGAATTTTAGAACTTTTTTGAATTGATTGATTGATTACTTTTATTAATAGAATTTTCAAGATAGATCGGATATTTTTCATTTTCGTACGTCAAGATCAAAGCCTGCTATTGATAAGTAGTCTATTTTAAATCAATCTAATCGATTTGTATTAAACTCACAGAATGTTTTTTTCTCTAGAGTCTGCACAATGTCAGATGCGACATGTTCAAGATTAATGGATGATGGTTTCGATGAAGAAACAAAACCTGTTACTGTGACCAATGTCGGTTGTTGGAAGAGGTCGCGATCAATTACTATTAGAACTTTGTTTTTATTTCTCGTGAGAAAAGTGATATCTAAAGTATAGCAAACCACTTTTATAAACCGTTAAAGAAGAACAGAGTTCTGATAATACCTAATGAACATCTACTAGAGAGATGAAACCCGTACTGATCTATCTTATTAACTTTTTTACTTCCGTTGTATAAATATTCGGAAGTTCTATCAGTCTTCATAGCATTTCATAGAATTTGAGAGTCTAATCAAAAGATAATGAATAGAAAGTTCTTGTCCTATAAGTTATATGAAAATATGTCTGTATCAAAACTTTCATTCTACTATAAATTTAGAATAAACATTGGCAGTAATCAATACATAAAGAATGTTTCAATGTTTCTACATGCTCCATATGTGAAATATCTACACAGTTTAGTAAGTTTTATTATATAGTAACAAATGAGAATTTTCGATTCTTAAAAAGAGAAAACTGAAAAAATTTTCAAAATGTTTAAGTAAATCGATTTTCAGCATTTTCATTAATGTAGACTTCTGTAGAGTTCTATTGACATGAAAAAAGTTATCACTTTACATTATCTTTTATAGTATTCTCATCTGATCTTTTTAATATTATTTTCATACGTAATATTATATGCTTATTTTCCACGATATGAATTTCAATCTGATCGATGTTTTTTAAACGAAGAAGAACATAATAATAGTGAAAAAAAATCTATTTCAAATTTAACAAATATTAATATGACTGTAAATGTAAATTCTTCATCAAAATCTAATCTTCAATCTCATTATGGGCCGTCAGCAAGTGAATTAATACTTATATTATGGGTTTTTACTTTATTTTGTGAAGAAATTCGACAAGTAAAAAAGAAATTTTTATTTTTTTTCTTATAAATTCTATAATTTTTATTTAATTAGATAAGAGCGAATAAAGTTCAGTCACTGTATAAGAAGATCAAAAAATATTTTTCTATATTTTGGAATAAATTAGATGCATTAGCTATAATTCTATTTATTCTTGGTTGTATTCTTCGATTTTTACCAATAAATCAATGTTTTTGTTATGCACGGATAGTATTAGCTATTGATTTATGTCTTTGGTATATTCGAACACTTGATATATTTTCAGCTATAAAAAGACTTGGTCCTAAACTTGTTATGATTGGAGAAATGGTAAATTGATTAAGTTTATTTTTGATTAATATTTATTTATTTTTCTAATAAAGATTCATGATCTTAAATTTTTTATGTTAATGCTTACTGTATTTATATTAGCATTTGGTGTACCAGCTTATAGTTTATTAGATGATGTTGAGAAACATACTTGGCATTTACCACGTTATATAATCAATTTTGCTTATTGGCAAATATTCGGTGAATTACAAGAAATTGATCAAATTGAAAGTTTGTTTATTTTCAAATAAATTTATATAAAACAAGATAATATTTTGTTTATTTTTTGTTCTTAGAAAATTATGAATTAAGTGGTTATATTATTTTTTTCTTATTAGTTGCATATATGACTGTTGCAAATATTCTTTTAATTAATCTTCTTATAGCAATGTTTAGGTATTATTTTAATTCAAAAAAAAAAAAGAAATATTTTTTTTTTGAAAATATTTATTTTAATTTAAAGTAATACATTTGATCGTTTACATTCGGATACAAATTGCATATGGAAATTTCAACAATATTCATTAGTATGTTATGAATTAAAACGTCCATTATTACCACCACCATTGATTATCATATCACATATTTGGCGTATAATAATTTATATATTTTCACATATTATTAAAATAAATTGGTTTTATATGAAATATATTGAAGAAAAAAGTCAAGCTAAAAGTAAATTTAATTTAATTAAATTTCTTAAATTTAATTGATTTAAATAGAAATAAAGGCAAATAAAATATTAACAAAACAAATTGAAGAAATTGAAGATGCATTAGGACATGAAATTTATTTTTTTTCTTTAAAAAATAATCAAGAACAAATTGGTTCTAATGAAGAACGAATGTAAGATAGATTTGTTTCTTTTTTGAAATTAAATAAAAATATAAATTTATGTTTAGATATTCACCACAAGAAATTTCATCAAATAAAATAAAAACACTTGAAAATCAAATTCAAATAATACAAAATCAAGTATTAACTATTGTTAATTTTTGAAAGAATTATTTTGTTCTTTTTTTTTTGTTCTATAGCAAAGTAATATGTTTCAATATTTGGAATCTCTAATGAATGGAATTAAAAAAATTGGTGGGAATGATATTGAAAAGCCAAAATGATATCGTGATGATTGTAACTGATAATGTATGTAAGACACTGTAATAGTTCTATTGAAATTCCATAAAGAGAAAATTTCTACTGATAAAAATAAGAAATTTTAATGAAGTTTGACACCTTTGTATAATAGATCTGATTATTTTCATTATTATTGTTCTTTTTTTAGGACATTCTTGATTATCATGGTTTCTTTATTTATATTTCATTGGACATTTCAATATGAAAGTTTAAATTTCTATTTATTCGTTTATAAACTGTTTTATGTCAAGAAGAACGACTCTAAATAATGTAGATTTTTTTTAATGTATATAATTAAATATTCTAGCATCTGTAAATTACTTTTAATGGAAATTGTTTATATGGTCTTCTGAAAAAATAGATAAATTTTAAGACAATTAATATTGACTTTATTAATAAACAAGAATTCATTTCTTTATTGAATATTTTAAATGGAAGTAAACCATACATGTTAAAAATTATTTACTTGATTTTTTTAAAGTATCGTTGAAATAAAATTATTTTTAGTATTATTTAGTGAACGAAGCACTAGATGTGCAAGTTTTCAATATCGCAGATGGATTGTTATGGATTCCGTAAACGATCTTACACCGGATTTACGCTCATATATACCACTGGAATACTAAGGTACTAGAACACCGATGTTTACTGATATATTAGACTTATCTATATCAATAAACGTCGGTGCCCAAATGTCTTCAGTGCTCGAGTGCACTCTGTGTCGATGACGTTGATCATTAGTAAACTGAAAATGCACATTTCTATACCATGTTCAAAGATTAGTGGTGTAGCCAGAAAAAAATTACAGAAGCAATGATCCTTCAAGAATTTTTTCCACTGGACGACGAATTTATTATGCGATCATTGATATAGTTATCGACAATCCATAGTAATATTGAGTTATCTTTATTTGAATTCCTATCTTTGCTGTCGCATAAAGTTACATTTTCTGTCAAGGTCGAACCATAGCATGTCGTGGTGGAAATAGAGAAGACTTCGTCATGTTTCGCTCAAAAATGTATAGAAAGGGCATTGCATCTCTGTGCTCCTTCCTGCTGGCTACACCACTAATTTGCATGCTATTATTGCTCAACAGTAACCGGATAGAGTTGATTTTGACGGCATTTAAAGGAGTCTTCAAGATATTTCAATGCAATATATCTACAGATAAAAATTATAGAAACATTAGAAATATATTTCTTGATGAAACAAAAAGAGATGCAAATATCTACTCAAGTTAAAAATTCAGACAAGATATTAAAGTCTTCATAAGAAGGATGCACAATCCGTCTCCAACCACAGAATGAACAATAGATGTTTTCAGGTTTTAGAAACGGAATCCTAATACATACTCAGTCCGATAACTATCATACCAGCATTATAGTTCCAATGCGAAACAGTAGTAGTAACAGTAGCTATAACTGCGTTCCGATCTGGTTCAACTGGTTCTGTTTGGTATGAATCGTATCTTGAACCATGATCATCTGAATAATACCATGGTGATTTTTCAATAGGTGTATTGTTCTCATTTGCATCAGCAGATTCAGTATTCTCATTTTCATTATTTTTTACATCAGATATATAATCATTTGAATCTGATTTTCCATCATCATCTGTATCAACAAAATTAGTTTCATTAGATGAGATAAGCCATGTAGGGCGAGTGCCTGCAGTAATATTGAAGAACGCAACTTGATTTGGGATGACGATATTCATTTGACACCAGCTGGATATGATCAAATGGCGACTATTATATTCGAAGTAGTCAAGAAGAAGTTAAATCATTGAGTAATTGTTTCATTACTGTGCGAATGTGTTTCTATCCGTCGAAAAGTCTTATTCAATATTGCTAATTCTATTGAAGTGTTGCATGAAATCGTTCACATCAAATTTAATCAATAGAAAACATGTCTTCTTCCTGTTAGATAATTACTTAGGGCAATCCAAAAGTTCTGTCGTCACTATCTTATTTTCTTAATAGAAGGCTTAAATAAATTTTCTTTTTTATTTAGTGATAAAGAAAATGACGCTCTATTTTTCTGTACTATTCGATCACTATTCAATTAATATCATAATAATAAAATTTCGATAAGAACTGTTTTTGTGTAAAACTTAACTATCAATTAAGATAGATTGAATGGTTACGCTTTGCATTCCAATTTTCAATGACTTAATACATTGTATTAAAAAACAAAATATGCCACAAGATGCAGCGTGAAAAGCTGTACAATTTACGTAAGATCGCTTATCTTATATACGAGATAAGAACAAAGGAATTTCTCTTCTATAGAAAAGAAATGATTTTTTTACGGCAGTCGCACAGAATTTCGTTTTTTTTTTAAACAAGAAATACACAATTAAAATAAGTGGTCTTATGTAGATTGCAGGACTTTTCACGCTGCATCTTGTGGTATATTTTGCTTTTTAATACAATGTATTAAGTCATTGAAAATTGAAATGCAAAGCGTTACCATTCAATCTACCTTAATTGATAGTTAAGTATTACACAAAAATAGTTCTTATCGACATTTTATTATTATGATATTACTTGAATAGTGATCGAATAGTACAGAAAAATAGAGCGTCATTTTCTCTATCACTACATAAAAAAGAAAATTTATTTAAGCCTTCTATTAAGAAAATAAGATAGTGACGACAGAACTTTTGGATTGCTCTAAGTAATTGAGAAATCAAATCTTTCGATTTTCCAAAGGTTTCACCGATTCACAGTCAATGAAACTGGTAGCAGAGTCATTCAAAGAATCAAGCAACTTTTTCGCCATTAACGTCAATTGCTTTTGCGCAGAATTGGATGGAAAACATCGATTCATGTGGACATTAATTTTTTTATGTATAATTACTATGAGAAGTTGATATAGTGGTAAAGAATAATAGCATAAGTTATGCATCATTCATAGATAGTGTAGTATTTAATGTCTTTCATTTTTGTTTTGCGTAAGAGAAGAGTTGATTTTGAAATAGATCTCAACAAGGAAGGAACATTTTGCTGAATAAATAATATTTCATTTGAATGATTTTCGAGTTTGATACACGTCAATAACGGACATATAATCATACACCCATGTATCCTTTCAAGAGTGGCGAGTATGATCTTCCGACAAAACGTACACTAGCATACGAACAGAGGGCTCCAAGCAATAACTTATTTCAAGAACAATTTTGCCTCTACTGAAAAAAACAGCGACAGCTGTAGAGAAACATTGCAAATAGAGAACAGAAGAGAAGAAATAACGGTTATTTACTTGATCAGTGGTTCACCTAAATCAGTAATGATAAGTATTCTTCAAATGCAAGAGACAACTATCTTATTTTAGAACAAGTAGTAGAAATAATTAATTGAACATTGTTTTTTAAATATCGTAGACTGTGATATTTTAAGGCAACAATTTCTTTGCTCAGTAAATTTATTGAAGACTCATTTAATTTAATTTTTCTCAGTAATATAAATATCTGCTAAGTTACATAATTAATATACAAGTAAAATATTTTTTTGTTAAATTAACAAATTGAAATCATAGTTATTAAACAAATTTGATAAGTAAAATTTATTGCTACTAAGTAATTTATGATTAAGACAACGTAAGGTTATTAGAGATAAGATAGATATTTTTTTTCTGGTAGTATGGATAACACATTTTTCTTCTCTTACTTTCCTTCTGTTAGTTGTGACGTGATACTGCTAATATATGTATAGTCCACTCATTTTTTTTTCCATTTTTCCAGGTATTTTCCCCTATTGTTTCCTGTTGGTTTTCCCCTGCTTGAGTTTCTTATATTAAATCTGATACTTTAGGTATTTTCATAGATAGCCTATACTATATCGTGGAATATCTCATATATCGTAACCTATAAATATTTACTGATATTAAATAAGTCATTGAAAATTTCATTTCGATTTTAAAAACAACGACAAATTTGTTGTAACACAACAGTATGGAAGTTTATGAGAATTAAACAACCAAATGCAAATCAACCAGAAACATATTCAAGAACATTCGCCATTGATTTCGATGGATGACAATCGAACTGATCCAACTGTATTCTCAACAGAACCAACAATTACACGTGAATAATGGATTGATGCATATCACTCTATAAAATCTTCCAAATCAGTATTAAAAATATCGTCCAAAAGAAAACGTTTTACTTATTATTATGTACGAGCTAGTGCGGCATAAGATGTTACAAAAAGTGAAATACAAAAATACAAAAGAAAAAAATCTGGACTTCATTTGATCAATTTAAAGATCCTCAATTGAGAATATGAAAAGTAACTTTACCAGATAATGCATCAGATTGGAAAAATGAAATTTGTAAATGTCCGAATTTCTTCAAGTAATATATTTACAAACACAGCATAAGTATGGAAATCAGGTCGGAATTTTGCAAACGACCTCCAGCAGCAAAGGATGTACCACTGGGTCAAAAAAGAAAACGAGGACAACCGCGGAAAGCAACAAACACTTCATTAATAGGATAACCGTACAATTAAATTTTTTATTTATATATTTATGTTTCTTCACTTAGCAAAATTTGTATATTTACTTAAAGATTTACAATATTCTGCCTAGGAAATCAAACTTATTTACCTAGAATTCAAATAAAATACTTAACAAAAATTGAAATTTTTACTTAGTTTTTATTAAAAACGACTTAGCATTTAAATGGGAGCCATATTTTAACATGTGTTTATAGTTTTGATTTGATGCGACTGAGTGACAGTTAACCCAACGATGCACTGTATTTTTTGATCCTTTAATCAATCAATGTCAATAAAAGTATCCTTTCATTCCTGCTTGTATTACAGTTTCTCTTAATCTAATTTTTCCTAAAGTCTAGCGTCATTGAAATATACTAGTGGAACAATTGTTGTCCGGAAAAAGCAAAAGCAACTTTTTTATTATAGATGCCATATGCTTGTCTTTTAGCCATGTCATAAATACCGTTGCGGCAATATTCCAAAAGAAATAGATCTTTGAAGTTGAAGTTTTGCCGGAGTTTTGATTTAAAGAGGTTTTTGAAAAGATCACTTTTTATACGAAATTATTGTGCTTTATGTTGTATATATTTTTGCTGCATTTCTCCATGCTTATAATAGATGCTTTGTATAAAATGATGATTTTCTAAGGGATCTGTTGGTAAATGTTGTCCTTGTATTGTTTAGTTCCTTGTTGAATCAGGAGCGAACTCTAAAAGTTTGGTTTTCTTCAAAGGATTTCACTCGTCGTAATTGACATTGAGACAAAAGTTTTGTCATGAATCAGTATAGCTCTTCAAAAGATATTCTATTATACAAGGTGAAAAATGTGTCGCAAAGAGCTAACGTCTCAATAAGTTACAGAATATGTTGTAAAAGTGGGATACGTCGAAAGAAAAAGGACTATTTATGAGACATTTAACTTTTTCAACAGGGTAAAAATATATGTTACAGTTCTATAAATCTTTCAGATGAGTTTATCAAAGGTCAATCAGAGAAACTTGTTTAAAGTAGATAAATCTTTTGAAGGATATTTGAAATATTAGAAAATCCAAGAAAAACATGTGTGCATGGTTGCAGTTTGAAGGATTTTTTTTCTATTTATTTGACGTGTCTTTTATAATATAGAATAACATAATCGATATTTTTCTTTCTCATTATTTTGTACATTATAATTCAATGCAACATAAAAAGCAAAAAGACTCTTCTTATAGCAGTACGTGAGAACAGAAAGAACGAAACAAAATATTATGTTGTCGCTTTCAGAAGAGATTGATTGATTCAATTGATTGAGAATACTGTAATTCTGAATGCATACTATTCATAGCAGAAGGTGCTCATCAATAAAAACTTCAATCATTCTTGCTTCTTTTCTTTCGTTCGTTTGTTGACAATAACTTTCTATATTAATCACTGTTTTCTTTTTCTTTCTGATCCATTCAACATAGAGCACCAGATATTTTTTTTAAATTTTTTGCTCGTCGACGTGACATTTTGAAGCGACAAAACATCAACAAACATAGTAAACGAACGCTATATATTTGACAAAGACTAATATCATAAACCTGAACATTTACAAACAATAATAACTCCCATTCCGTCAGTTTTTTCTAGTGCTTCTCCGAATAATAATCATAATGGGCGATAATGGTTCTTCTGTTTCTTGTTGTGTTGGTTTTGGTCGTGCTCTTCGTGCTTGCATTTGTTGTTGTAATGTTGTTTTTATTTATTTTCCTTGTGCTGTTCCATGTATGGCTATTGGTGGTGAAGATTGTGTTCCTCCCTGTTGTGCTAATGATGGCCCTTGTGATCCTGATAATGATTGTTGTGGTAGTGTTTTTGGCTAAGACAGGTATGTTCTATCAATAGTGTTTCAATCATAACTCATAGAGAGAATGTTATTACTATGTCCATTGAGATTAACATTTGAATGCTTTATGGTATTGTATTAATTCACTATATTTTCTTTGCAGGAAATATGGCACAGACATACGTCATCATCGAAAAACAAACATTCATATCGAACATTATTGATTAGCTAGCTTTTTTCCTATAATATTCTCAATATTTGAGGTAGCCAGAGAGTATAAACCCGAATTTCTCCTTGGCTAAAAGCTTCATCAGACGACTTCGTAATGAAAATGTTTTTGAATAGTTATTCAGCAATAAAGATTTATTAAATTCTTCAATTGCTCACTCTGCTAATACGCTCTAATCAGTATACATTGCATCTATCATTAAAAGCATCATTAAACAGAGCTCATTATTCAAGATCTAAGTAGAATAACTATCGAAATCTTTATATCTGTCCGGCTAACGATCAAGTGAAGGCGAGATAAAGCTTATGATTTGGAGGGTGTGGGTGTGGGTGTGGGTGGCGGTGGGTGTGTGGTGTGTCGGTGGGG